TTCTTTATTCCTCCTGCGTCGGCTTTTGCTGAGTCGAAATTGCTGACGTTTCGCCAATCATCCTGTTGGCTTCTTCAGAGCTTGACTGAAACTGACGCAGGAGGAATCCAGAAATTTTGGAAAAAGTATTACAGTAGCCTGTGGAAGTTTCTTTGAAAAAGAGAGACTATACATTTCACAAATTTTGTTTGTAAATTTGTCAGTAGAATGGCTTGGAACTTCACTATTAATATAAAATTAAAAATGAGGCCGCTATCTGAAGAACTTGTTCTTAAGGAGTTTTTAATAATAGTAGTAGTAGTAGTAGTCATTTCGAATGACTTGCCTATTGGATGCTGACGTATTGAATTCGACGGTACCATAAACTTACAAGCAAAACAATTACTTCGCCTCCAAGCGGCCCGAGGGTGGAAAACATTTAAATCGCAACTAAGTGAAAACTCCAGACCCCTTTCAACCCCCTTTATTTTACTAAATACTCCATTTTACACCTCCTTTCTTAAAGCTGCCGTCGTTCCAGTTTATACGGGCCGGAATCCTTCGTCATTTCAATGATGTGCAATTTGTCACATAATATCCCACCCTTCCCCGTTTTGCAGGGTTCACCCTTTATGCGTCTACAAGGACGTACAAGCCAATGAGAACAGGGTGGCATTGGTTAAGGGTTTTGATCAAATGGAAAATCTATTTATTGATTCCTTAAACAAAAAATTAATAGATATGGTGGTGTTCGTGCTGATTGCAGGTTATTAATTTTTCCTGAACTATCTATCTATCGTTTATTTTATAGTTGTTCCTATTAAAAGACATTTTGTAAATTAAACAATTATTCAATTTGTTTCGTGCAACAAGAAAAATACGAAAAAAATGTTTGATGTTTTTGACAAGCGGTTTCCTTGTTTATAAACTTTTATAACGGATAAGATATTTCGAAAATCAAACAAACTTTCAGGCGTTATTATTCTATTTATTTAGTCTTTGCATCTATCATTTTAGACATTATTTATTTAATTCAATTTGATTTGAATATAAGATATTAAAACCTTTCATGAAAAGTGAAATAAAGAAATTGTACAAACGGCAATTTTAATAAAAGTTGCAACATTCTATGATTTTCTCTATAGAGGAACAAAGCAGATGGCGGTAATTTTGTTGCGGCTGAGAAAGAAGCTATTTATTTATCGTGCTTTTTATTTACTGTTTGAATGTATTCACATTCGGTTTGTGCGACACAACACTTCACTGGCTTGGTATAGGATATAAAACTTTGCATTATTTGCGATGTGTAGGATTCATGTATTGAAAATATCATTTTCATTTAATGTCCCATCTGAATAATTAAATGTCTACTGGTCAAAATGTATTTCAATTATTTTTTCTGTTCTCATAACAGTATGAAAAAGCAAATACAAATGCAATTTTGCAGGGCCTGTAAAAACACCATTTCTAAACTGCAGGAATGGTAATATTAACTTATACGGTCCTGAAAACGGTAGCCTTATTCTTAGCACTTCGCAGCGCGTTGGTGTTATCCTTTTTCAACGTTAATCCTTCCTCTATTCTAATCCCAACTTAAAAGCTCTTTTGTTACTTTGCTAACCCTTCTTCGAGGAGATGGAGTTTAAAAGGTAAAAGCAATGTACTCCAACATAGGCGGGAACTTTTCCTCATTCTTAGTGAAGCGAATTTGTGGGAGCGCAGTGTTTAATATCACCAGTTATACTCAAAAGAAAAAAAAGGTTATAAAAATATATAAAAATGGTTCTTGATAGTTTTGGCAGAAAATAAGTCATTAACAAAATGCATAAAAAACGCCCATCATAGGGGGCTAAATTTATACTGAAAAAAATTCATAAAGTTCCAGCAATGATCAGATGCATGAGCATTTAAATAAAAGCGTTCGTAGGAACGATTTGAAAACTGTTGATTTAAAAATCCTTTGTTAGTAGAATAATTCGCTAAAACACAAGACAAATAATCAATATATTTTTACCGTTTATATTTATGAATATGAATCTCTTATCGATAGTGTTTTAAGAGTTTATTAAATTTGATGAAATGAGAGGTTTATTCACAGGCTTATCATGAAGTTTTTTGCAAGATTGGTTTTATCTTCCTTTTTTTTCAGATCTTAGACGACAACACAAGCTCTTCTGTAAGTGATGAAGAATTTTTAATTTATTTTCACGGAACCATGGAAGATGTAGGCAGAAAAATGAAATTTATCTACAATTAATAATACCAAATTATAGTGATCCACGGAGCATTTTCGACTCAGTCGACATGTTACAACAATCATTATAGAGATCTGATTATGAAGGCTGACCTAATGTTAAAACTACGAAAACTCAGTAGTACAAATTAAAGTTCTGTTTTGGAAAAGTTTAAAATGTGTAATTTCAAATGACGTTTTCGTACATGATAATCATTGTCTACCAAACTAGGTAATGCCGTTCGTGGGTTAGATAAAAAATAACAGAAAACTCATAATGACGATAAAGTTAGGCTAGGTTGAAAAAATATTGCTCGACTTGGATGCTAAAAAGGGCACAGGGCCGGACGGACTACAATTTATAAAAATTGCTCACTCTTAGCCTGCATCTTGAACTTTTTAGCATTATTTTTAAGAAATGCCCCGCTCATGGGACATTTCCAAACCACTGGAAAGCGGCCCAGATAGTCTCAATTTAGTATCTGGTGATTCTACAGACGCTACTATATGTCTGTAAAAAATGACACCAAAAACCTTCAGTTCTTATAAACTCGGCTCCGTTTATCCATGACATCAATTTCTCTATCTACCTACTGATTTTAAAGGCCTTTGATAAAGTATATCATCCAACTCTGATGACAAAACTTGGGAATTTCGGTGTGCATGGCGACATTTTTCAAATAATGCAAAGTTCAAATTTGTTGTTTCCAATGGAAAAGAATCTCATTGTTAAATGTTATCGCGAGTGTACCACAGGGGTCTTATCTGGGCCCTTTACTCACTATTCTATTCGTGCTTCTTTTGGCGATGATGAAGTAAAAAAAGAGATTATTTCAGAAACCACAGATTGTTCTTAAATCTCGATAAATGTTCATGTATCTTGTTCATAAGGAAAAAGAAAGAATTCCATAGATATTAACTTAATACTGAATAATAAACAATTGAAAAGAGCTAACCAAGTAAAAGACTTGGGAATTGTTCTTGACTTCAAATTAAACTTTAAGGCTTATATAGAAGCTATTGGCCAATAAAAGTTGGAGAAATGTGAGCTTCTTTCTGAGAATCTCAAAGGGTTCAACAACCATTAGTTGGCAATTGCTGTGTATAATAGCATATAAAATCTGTTCTAGAATACTCATCCGCAGCTTGCATCTAGAAATACGTAGTCGAAATAGGAAATGCAAAAACAATTTTTTCTACTCCCTTCTGTAAAAAAATACCTCATTATACACCGATCTAGAATGCGGAAAATGTCACTTTACCACGTAAGTTTTGTTTCCCACGGATTCGAGACACTTCGAACATTTCCGAGATATTACCGTACGGGTTTCAGAGCAATCGGGTGTTTTCGGAGATATTACCTCATTGATTAAATTTTGACGTTTGTCAATTCTGATGGGCATGTCAGTGAATGCGTTCGTGTTGTTTTGCATAATTGTAATGTAATGTCGTAGAAAAGAGTATAGTACGCAACACGTACACTTTTTGTATAAATTTGTATAAATTATTCAAGCTTCAACGTATCAGGTGTGGACGTAGTTTTGAAAACTGTACAGGTATATATATATATATATATATATATATATATATATATATATATATATATATATATATATATATATTCTCACGTATTGATTCACGGATGGAAAAATGTGATGACACTATATTCCGGGATATCATCCGTTCGCTCATTGAACTCCGACTGGAATCTTGCATCCGACTGGAATCCTGCAGACGTTTCGCCAAAATCTCACTTGGCATCTTCAATGCTCGCGCTCCATTGAAGATGCCAAGTGAGATTTTGGCGAAACGTCTGCAGGATTCCAGTCGGATGCAAGATTCCAGTCGGAGTTCAACGAGCGAACGGATGATATCCCGGAATATAGTGTCATCATATATATATATATATATATATATATATATATATATATATATATATATATATATATATATATATATATATATATATATATATATATATATATATATTGTACCCTTCTGTAATGTAAAGAAATAAATAAATAAAATTATATAGATTTCGACCAGCACGTAGAATAAAAATTGCCAAACTGCGTGTTGAAGTGTGAGAAATTGGCAATACATTTGAAATTCCTGTCTACGAACAAACCAAATATTACTTTTATTATTTTTAAGAAATTTCTTACAAATTGGGGTGCTTTATTAAAAAGAAATACCCGCGGCTTCCGCAAGGGGTCTCGATTATTAGAAAAAAACTCACACTCACACTGGTACGATACGGCACTGCTTTCTGCCACACTGAGAGATACTCTTAAAGTCAATGTACGGATTATACGGGTGTAAAGAGCCATCGAATCGAATCGAAGCCCGCCCTGTCGCAGTGGCCCTGCTTGCCCCGTAAATATATCATCAAAACACCTTTACATCACCCAAGTATGCACGGAATTAGAGCGGGACCAAGAAAACCAGGCCGGAAAAAGGACGCAGCTAGAAAGTTTCTTTCAAGAAAAGCGACAAAGACAACTGCGGACGTCCCGTGCGGGCGTCGGAGTGAGACACGGCGCCCATAAAAAAGGCCAAAAGACGTTTTATAAGTGTTGCGCGCTTGCGTCTCCGGCATCGGTAAACCTCTAAGAAACGACGCTGGTCTGAGGGCAAAAATCCGCCGTCTTTCCTGGTTGGTGGCAACGACGGCGGTGGCGGTCTACCTCAACACGCTCCGCCCACATCTACCCCCCAAAACCACCCGCCCGACGACCCCCCAACTACTTTTATACTCTTTCTTAATGTCAGAATATCTCGCGACAGAAAAGAACGCGCCTCGGTCATTTTCGTAAAAATCACGTTATCTTATCACGGCGGTTTTTTTTCGCGGTTTATTGCCGGTGGTTGGTTGTTAGTGGTATTTCGTAAATACAGGGGGCGGACGTGAAGGTATACAATAATCGCATAATTATATAATATATTTTCTACGAGGAAACCTTCGGTGACGGCGTATTTGTACTATTTCTTTTTGGTTTTTGGGGTTTTTGTCAAAAGCAATTCCAAAAATCGCCTAAATTGTTTCAATTTTTTTTCACCGTTTCGAGTAATATCTGGTGTCCAATATAAAACAACGCACAATGAAGCACAAACTATAATGTCGGTTTTAATTATTCTTTTTTTTTTATTTGAAAATTAATAAGTCAAATATTTTTTTAAACATTTTTTCTTAGAATATAGAAAAGGTATATACCGAGGGGCAAATCATCATCCAAAACTACCATAGAGATTTCAGATTTCACGGATTTTTTATTTGAAATTCCATTGTTATTTAATTAATTCATAATTATTGTAATTAAAATATTATTATTAATTTAAATATATATAATAATACTCTATATAAAGAAATCCATAACTGGTGTAAAAAATCTGTTTTTAAATTTGCTTTCAAATTCTGTCTGTGTGTGTTTTTCTCTTTTGGAAGATTTAATTAAGTTAGAAGTTTTAACAAATCAACATGCTTATGAGCACATTGTGTATGTGCCCTTATATACATCACAAAAAATTATTGCATCACTTACCGGGAATGTGTATGTTATTTCGCAACTATAACATAAATTTATATTTTAGATTTTAGATGTGCCACTCTTCCTTTTTTTTGAACAGAACAATTTTTACATATTAAATTCTACATCTTTATAACTCTAATTGAGTAATTTTCTTTATAAAAAAGGAAAAAAGACCCTTGATAATGATTAAGATAAGGGTAAAAAAAATACAGTAAATGCAGAAAATTATTTTGAATCATTGAAGATACCACTAATGAAGTTCATATAAATTAACAATAGCATTTTTCGAAATTGGTTACGGCCCAACCAAATGTTACATTTTAAGACGCCAACCTACAAATAACTTAAAAATAGTTATTTAATAATTGCATATTAGCATTTTTTAAAATTTTGTTTATTATTTATAGATAGTTTTAATTGATGGAAAGTCCTCAAAACTCTAACGTCAGAATTTTTCAAATATTTCACGGATTTCACAGATAACGAAGATTTTCCCAAATTTCACAGATTATATTATTTGCTCACCTGCTTTATCTGAAATTCAATTTTTGATTTACTTTGTTTTCTTTTCGAAAGTAAAGACATTTAGTCCTGCAACAGTCCACTGAGTCGGTTACATTTCCCCTTACTTTTTAATTTAACCCGTATATTATTTAGGCGTTAAATTTTCGAGTGATACTGTTGATAAATTTACCTACACTTAAAATAAAAAATAGTTTAATTTTGAGTGACCTACAGGTCACCAAAGCTGATAGAAATTCTATCGATATGTCTTTTTTTTTCAGTTATCACACGTCACTTAACAATTAACTCTATTAAAGGTCTTGAGTGCTCGATTAGCCCATTTACTACAAGTTCTGAGGGGCGAAGTTTGAAGATTTTGCTGGCAAGAGAGTCTGATAGTTTCGATAAGATGATCCCGGACGGGTTAAAATTAAACTTATCCCAAATGGTGTCGGGTGTGGGGTTCGCTTTGTTTATTAAATAAATCTGTAGCGATTGATACAGTTCTCGTGAAATTATTAGTTTCCAAGCCAATACGGAGGGCATCAATTTTGCTTGTGTTAACAACGGGGTTCCAAATATAATATGATCTTCTTACTTCTAAATGGTCATGGATTTGTTATTGTTTAGGGCCGCAATATACAGGATGTGCAGTAAACTTGAGATGCTGAGAACAAAAAAAAACTCTTATTTCGTGCTTTCTAGCATGATTTTTTGCATTAGTTGCCATATAGGATTACTTTCATTTTGAATGGTGCTTCACAGGCTTATCATATTTGTAAAAATGGATGCCTACGGGGTTCTAAATATAATATGATCTTCTTACTTCTAAATGGTCATGTATTTGTTACTGTTTATGGCCGCAATATACGGGATGTGCAGTAAACTTGAGATTCTGAGAACAAAAAAAAACTCTTCGTGCTTCCTAGTATGATTTTTTGCATCAGTTGCCATATAGGATTAGTTTTATTTTGAACGGTGCTTCACAGGCAGTGGTTTGTTCCTTCAAGATGATTTCCTAGATATGCGTGATTTTCAATTTTAATTTTCACCGTATATACTATATATTATATTAATGAAGCCCATAATCTGATTAGTAGGAATATCCTTGATGGTCCCTGGAAGTAGCCATGAAATTAATCCGGAAGCAGCCTTCGCTCTTCACGAATTCTGAATTCTTTGAAAAAATTTAAAATGTTATGGATATGAGCAACGCAGATATATTTAATCGTTTATTACGTTTAAGCAGCACTTTTTATGTTCGATGCTATCAGATGCTCAAATGCTTAAAACCAAATGATTTGCGAGGCGAGCACAGTATCATACGAGAAAAACATAACATTAATAATAATAAGAATAATAGTAATAATAATAATATTTATTTACCCAAAGACAATTGCAAAATTGTATAGGAATAGTGGAAATAGGTACTATATACATATAACAAAAATTCGCCTAGACTCTAAAATGTTTTGGATAACATAAATATTTGTAATCGTTTTTTAAATAGATAAGGTTTTAAATTTTTGTCTCTTAACTCCAAAGGCAGATTGTTAAAAACACAAACACTTAAATAATCAGGTGATCTCGAAGTCGTCGACAGCCTACAGTAGGGCACATGCAGCTTATCGTTCTGTTTTGTATACTTAGAATGTACGTCACCAACTAACTTAAAATTCGATAAATAGTTAAATACAATAGACTCGTGAGAATTCTGTAATGGGAAAATAAACCTCTACAAGATGTAAACTTGGAAGTATGCGCAATACTCCTTAATAGACGTTTTTGAGTCAAAAATACTTTATCGGCATTTACAGATGCTCCCCAAAAAATGATCCCATCACGTAATCGGGACTCCACTTTTGCATAGTATAAATTAAGCAACTGTTGCCTAGTTAATTTTGGTTAGTTTAAACATTCATTAAAAACTCAACCCTAGAAACTTCACAGTATCCCTACTTGCGATAGTGTCATTGCCTAAACAGATATTAAAATTTTCACATAGTTTCTGATAATTAGTCTGGTTTTGCTTGCGTTGAAATATAGATTAATTTTTTCAAACCACTTTATCAATCTATCGAGTACCCCAACGCATTTCTCTGAGGGGTCATCGTCATTTCCACACTAGATCACCAAGCCATCACCATCATTCGCAGTCATCACAAAAAACGTATCAGGTAAAATTTTTGAACATACAAATTGCCTATAATATGAAGAGTACAGTGCCTTAAACTGAACCTTGAGACCGTTGACTAGCTGAATTTACACTTTACATTCATGTAATAATTATAGCAATGTTGCAAACAAAGCGATGTAATAAGTAACAAATGTTATGTTGTGGCAAGATTTTTTGAAAGCAACAGCAATTTCAATTTATGTAAGTATCAGGTCAATTTGAAAAAAATCACTAAAGAAAAGCTACCAGCAACGAAAATCTTATAAATAATTTTGAGAAATAGAGTGTTGTTCGCGAAAGCTTATATTCTATTAATGGAAATAAGTAACGCCCAGGCAAAATCACTGCTGTGGTTTTCCCTCAACATTTACTTGAAGATATAAGGAGAACTCGTAAATTCAGAACAAAATCGGGTGATGCAAACAATACGGCCTGCTGTTCCTACCTAGGTTCCTGCAAGAGGGGTTTGTTTATTTACTGTTGAAAGATTGATCTCAATTTTTTTTAAATATTTCATAAGCTACACACTTCATTATCATTATTTTAATATATTTGTATATACGTTGCGAAAACGTCTGCAAAATATGAAAAGGTTCTCATAAGTTTCAGTCAACCCGTTGTTTTGGTAGATGGGTTGTACAGAGTGTTTCTTAAAAAGATTAAGATGTATTTGCATATTGTTTGAGAAAAAAATGCTGCGTCACTGATACTTCTTCAAGTAAATATTTTCTTTAGATAATCAGTAATTTATTAATAAAATTTAATGTTTTTGTCGCCTTGCACCTTTTTGGATTAAAATTATTAAGTGCTGTATTTCGGAGTACTCATATTATGAACGAGTTACATATGGGTTTTTCGATTAGTTTAACAAGAAGTAAGTAGCTCTGGATGGTTTTTTTATACCATAGACCTTTCAGGTGACCCCAGAAAACGAAAACTTTTGAGATCTACGTATCTAAATGATTTCGGATTTGATCCCTAAATGCGATTGATCTAAACAAACTGGGCATTTTCTTTTGGAAAAAATTTACTTTTGGTGATTGATAATAATTCCTGTCCATAAATTAATTGATTTCGGTCATTGCATAGAAGTTTTAGTCTGGCCACATATGATTATTATGGAAACTCTTAATAGTGCCAAGAAAGGTTTGCTTCATCTGTGAACATAATTACTGACGCAAAGATCGGATATAGCACGTAATACGTGATACGAATATAACAACAAATCCATCTGCCATATGTTATTTCCTAAGCAGTATGTGTTGTTTATTCAACGTTAAATTGAATTCTTGTGACCAAGAAGGGCAATATTTGACAAAAGGCCAAAGAAAATTTTCACCCAAAAGAATGTCAGTGTAATGTGTAAAACAGTTTTTCGGATAATTCGTGAATATTTTTCTACCCCGTTTACCGTAAAGAATCAAAGTGTGAAACGCGCCGTATCAGTCACACCGTTTCTATAACATGTAAACAATTCAGACGCAAAATTCGGCACCCGATGGGAAGACGCGAGAGAACGATGAATCATAAATCAGCTGATTTTCAACCCCCCGTTTCGTATACTTAACTGGACCAAAACGTGCAGCGATTGTCAAATATTTTCTATTTCACCCCACTTTATAAAGACAGAGGGGGCGCCGCGCGTAAGGGTGCGAGAGGGTGACGTTATAAAAAAACTAATTACGTGATAGTGGAACATTTTGCAACACTTGTCGTAGACATAAGGCGGGCACATGTTCGATGTGATTAATGTCGCGCGTGTTCACGCTCAAGAGTGGAATTTGGCCAAATTGATGATTTATTCGACAATTGCAGTTTTCTATTCTCAGGTTTGGTATTTAAATTTTTCGGAGTGTTAATTGAGCACAAAAGTATGATACACCTCTTTTAATTAAGCAAGTCGTAAACTTTGACTTAGGAATTTCGGACTGTATCGTTCACAGGACATCTGAGGCTATAAACACAGGTGGCGTTCTTTCAAGTGAATCGGACAATAGATTTACGTAGCGTGAGATAACTTATACTAAATTAGTTGCTATCTCATGGGTGACTCGCAGGATCTAACTTTCTGATTTTAAATATTTTATTTTTCAATTTCAGAGAAAGTTGTTCAAATTTTCTTATGTGCTATAGTTTCCTAGGTATTTTGATTATCTTAAAAGTTTTTAAATCTGCAAAACTTCTGGTATATGTACACTATACACCCTGCATATTACTGCATCTTGATTATGACTAAGCTTGACATGTTTACGCTGATTTGCTTGACGAAGGCGGAGGTAAAGGCGGAACACACAACATCATCGTCTTGGATGATAGCAGTGGTTTCTCAATTATCACCCATCATCGCAAATATATTTATGGTAGCTTTTGCGAAGAAAGCACTCGACACTAATCACTAAATTCACTACACTACTACTAAACACTAAAACCGAAACTCTGAACGACGGTACTTTTGTTCTTTGACTTAATGTTCAGGAATTAACATACACTTTACCATTGAATTATAAACTAATAATAGTAATTTTCCATACCGTAGATTTTCTTGTTGATAGCAAACCAGATCTATCATTAGATATTTCAGGTTACAGACCTATACTTCAATGCATTGTCGCATCACCATCTGACCCAAAAATCATCGATTATCAACTCTCGTATTTACTGAGCCGTAAAATGATCCCAACCCCAATCTATGGGCTTAAAAATATAACACCTAATATCAGCTCTTCTCTCAAATAATTTCCTTACCTTAGATATATTCCGTGCTAAAATACACTTCACCACAATTTCCCAAAGAAAATGAGTCCAACAGCAACGTCACACTTGTCACTGTGATCCTTATTTACCGTCAAAACTCGCTACATATCAAAAGTTCTTAAGAAACATGATGTTAAACACTTGTCATTCCATGCCCATGAGCCAAGGAACACACTGGAGAAGCAATACGAAAAATATTAACCACACTTATCAGCAGTTGCCGAACATAATCATCAACTCTTGTTAGACTAAATTAAAATTCTCGCAAGCATTCAATTCTTCTACCGAAGAAAAATCCGAGAATCCAGGGAAATCTCTATGCAACCAAACAATATGGGAATTAGTGATTCAAGACAATGTTCATGACCCTCATCACAATAGAATCCATTTTATTCAGTTAAGTTCTGAAGAAGAAAACGAAACGAAAATCAACAATCGACGTAGAAGGAATCCAGAAGTTTTTAAATGGTAGTAGGTTATATGATTGATTTAGCTTCCATGAATAAGGTGATTCAGATCAGAGAGTATCAATTCTCTAATGTTCCTTCATTTCCAATAAGGTGATGAACTTGCTTAATGCATTTTCCAATATGGCTAAGAGATGTGTCAAACGTAGCAGAAATTTGCATGTTGTCGTTTATGTTTATTTTGTGAAGTTTATTTGAAAAGAATATAAGTATGGTACCATAGATATAGAATTAAGCATCGTATTCATTTTAAAATATTGCAAATATCTTGAAGGGCGGAACAAATGTTACCAGCGCTTTACAGGTACACTATACACAGAATACTAGATAAATTGGAAATTTCAATCGGTGAACGTTGACAAAAGTGTTCCTAAAAGTTCGTTCAATAAAATAGTAAACAATTCTTTTTTAAGCAGAAATGTCCTTTTTTTCAAGAATAAACGTTTACGCCAATATAGGAGAGTTTTCGAGTGCGTCTTATACTTTTGATGTTTTTTAGGGGGAAAAGTGACTGTTTGAAAGTGAAAAGATGTTTGAGATATTGCCATTACAAAAAGTGATAGCAAAAATGCCTCAACAAAGCATACAATGAACTGTGAGGTTTGAATTCCGAAATTTCATATCATGTGTATGTAAACAAATAGAAGACGTGTCTCATGGGCGGGCGGACTTATTTTCTTCTTTTCTGTATTTGTTCTTTTGCAAGGTTTCAAAGGACACTTTGATGCGTCTAATTGTTTTGTTTGACTTCCTGGAATTATTTTCTGCCACCTTATGTGGTTACCATAGCAACTATTTATATTTAGGTAACACTCCTCAGTGGCTATATTTCCATCGGAACAGGAATTTTTAGAATGACTTACGCGGTCTTTTTAAACTAGACGTTTGTGGGTTTACCAATCAAAAGTGTTTGTCTCTATTGGGTGAAGGTTTCTAATAACAATAATAATATCAATAATACTGTTAATAATAATAATAATAACAATATACTTTTTCTACTCCCGTCTGTAAAATACCTAATTACACACCGATCTAGCGCGGGAAGCGTCACTTTAGCACGTCAGTTTCGTTTCCCATGAATCCGAGTCACTTCGGACATTCCGGAATTTTACCTCACGGGTTTGGAAGCAATCGGCTGTTTTCGGAGATATTTCCCACGCCTTCAATTTTGACGTTTGTCAGTTCTGACGGTCATGTCAGTGAATGTATTCATGTTGTTTGCGAAAATGTACCCAAAAACTAACGGTCGTAGGAAAAGTACACCATGCAACCCGTTCGGTAAAACTTTTTAAGTCACTCGTTTATTAAACACCCGCTCCGCTCGTGTCAAATAAATTCGTGAGTCAAATGCCGTTTACCGCACTTGTTGCATAGTATACTATTATTCAGGTAATTTCGACAAGTATTATTACAGGAAAAGACAAGAGTGCAGTGCCCATATGTATCTGTTTGCCGATTTCTACATTTATCCTTAAAAAAACAGAAAACGTATCAAAAAATTCTCATATGGTTTAGACTAAAACTTCATATTTGTTAAGTATCTACCTATATATATAAATGAAAAATTTGTAGATTTGTGTTTTTTAGTTTATTTGGAAAAGAAATTGACTGCTTTAGATTTAAGTTGTTTACGTGTGTCCTGAAAGTTATTTTCTCTGTAAGGTATTCAACGTATTTCGTTTTAATGATGTTGAAATATTGGTCCAACCAGCATCCTTCACATTGTGGCTAACGGGTCTTCCAAAATGGACGCAGTAAATGCTGCTCAGGTAGCATTTTTGAATTTAATTAATACGCCGATATCCGACGCGTAACCTTTTTCTAAGATTTCCAGTTAGAAAATGCCTTGTGCTCTATCCTTTGTGTAAAAGCCGAGAAGCGTTTTCCAAATTTTTTGCTTGGTGTTCTAATGGCATATTTATTTTGCCTAAGGCGATAAACATCCACAGGTCGGCCGAAAAACATTTTTGGGATTAAGAGCATAATCCTTAGAAATGCTTTTTAAAAAACTTCTGGATTATGAAACAGTTTCGGTCAAGCTCTGAAAAAGCCAACAGGATGATTGGCGAAACGTCAGCAATTTCAACCAAGCAAAAACCGACGCAGGAGGAATCCAGAAGTTTTGTAAAAAGCACTACGTAGTCTGTGGAAGTTTCTTTGAAAAATTAATCCTTAGTAATGCTGTTAATTCGTTCAAAGTCGCCGTTGACATTTTGGCATTTAAGCCAGAGGGGTCAAAAACATTGCTTGTCGTCAGCAGATGAATTTTTGCTACAATACTCTACAAAATCTAAGAATTTAGTTGTGAAAATAATGAACAGAATATGATTATCTTTCACAAAACTTCTGGATTCCTCTTGCGACGGTTTTTGTTGAGTCGAACTTGCTAACGTTTCGCCAATCATCCTGTTGGAGCTTCAGAACTTTACTGAAACAGTTTCAGAAGTCAACAGGATGATTGGCGAAATGTTAGCAAGTTCGACTCAACAAAAACCGACGCAGGAGGAATCCAGAAATTTTGTAAAAAGTATTACGGTGGCCTGTGGAAGTTTCTTTGAAAAAAGAAAGGAATATTACTTAGAATCGAGCTATCTGGAATTCCACTTATTATGCTTTTTGCTGTCTCTCTGCTAAGTAGTTTTTTCATGATGTCTTGTATTTGGACAAGAAGGAAAGTTCCTCGGTTTTACGAAATCATGGTTTCCCTAAATTTAAGGCGAGCCCTTCAACCAAACACCCTTGCCGATAATAATACTTTCGTTGCAGGCCCCGGGAAAAACCAAATAAACATCAAACGCCCACGGCCACCCGGAAAAGTGAAAATTGACTTCTAATCCGACGTATCCGGACGTCGACCAAAATAAGCGGTCCTGTGTGGCACAAAGTAGCAACACGTAGAGAGCGAGAGACCGTCGTGCAGCCTAATTAAAAACAATCAGTAAAAGGGAGCGAGACAGCGGCACATAATTAGAAAAACAGGAACGGGTGAAAGAAAGCAAAGGATGGAGAATTCCGCGCGCACTTTTCCAACTGCTGCGGTCCGCAGCTACCACCACAGCAACGCGTGATTTTTCATCATATTTGCGCACCGACCGGTCAGTCATTCGACTTGTAAAAACCAGGCTACTGCGATCAACGCGTACGAGAGAGTTTTTTAAACTGCATTATCATGCCGGTTAGGTCGCCACCCGCTGCTGCTGCCGACGACGACGCCGACCGTCGGTTCGAGTGGTGAGAACGCGCGGGAAAAATCAAAACATGCATTTGGCCAGTGAAGTTAGCTCGACGACGGGTCAGTATGACCGCAATTATAGTAATTTGACGGCCGAAATATTGGCGGAAAGAACGATTGATGGACTTTTGGCCGAACATCCGGGCGAACTGGTCAGGACCGGAAGTCCTCATGTGGTTTGTACCGTGTTGCCGCCGCACTGGCGTTCCAACAAGACTTTGCCGGTTGCTTTTAAAGTTGTGGCGTTGGGAGACGTGGGGGATGGGACGGTGGTAACTGTTAGGGCGGGAAACGACGAGAATTATTGTGCGGAGCTGAGGAACGCGACGGCGATCATGAAGAACCAAGTGGCCAAGTTTAACGATTTGAGGTTCGTCGGACGCAGCGGCCGAGGTAAGACGCTACAATTTTTTCAGCAAGACACTAGATTTTCATTTTCACTAAACACAGTGAGGCAAACCGTTGTTGCTCATATCTTTTTATACGGTTTTTCGTGTGTGCAATTTTTTTCTGAGCTTTTGGAAGCGACTCTGAGAGAAAACTGTTGTATTTTGTTGTATATGCTGTTGGGCTTTATTTGGTAATATTTTTTTTATATTTCTTGTACGTGGGATTTTTCTGAGTTTTTAGAGAAGAGGTTCCTATGAACGATGGTTGAATTTACATTTCAATTATCGCGGATTGTTTTTTTATTGCAATATTCTCGTGTCTTTGCTTAAGAAAGTGTTGACGAGCTTTTACAACTACCTCTCGCTTTTTATACGTCTTTGAAAAGTTGTAATAAATTTCTAGTTTGTTGTAAAAAGGTGGTTCTTGTTAAACAAAGAGAGAAACAACTGTTAGGTTTGGTCGTATGCCTCCGGTATAGAGTAGAAGTAGACTTTATTTTGTTCGTATTTTTTTATACGTTTTTGTGTGTTGAATTTTATCGAGATTTTTCAAGTGGATATTTCTATGTGAAATTCACATTTAAATTGTCATGGTTTCTTCTTTTTTTATCAATTAATAGTTTATATTGCAAAGAGTTAATAAATTTTTACAATTTTTTCTCACTACGCCTCGCTTTTTACATATTTTTGAACCGTTTTTTGCACGTGGTATTTTTCTGAGCTTTTGGAAGGAGAGGTTCCTATGAACAATGGTTAAATTTACTTTTCAATTGTCGCGCATTCTTAGGTACAATGGGTTTTCGTTCGCACTAAACAGAGACGGAAATAAGAAGAAGTTAAGCTTTATTTGTTCAAATTTTTTATATGTTGTTTGTGTGTGAGATTTTTTTGAGCTTTTTTTTCTCAATTAATATTTTACATTACAATACTCACGTGTCTGCTCTACACCATATATAAGATAAGCATATATAAGTTGGTCCAGAAAATGTTGAGAATCTTTTAGATTTTTTTCTCATTACAATGTGCTTTATTTTAATTTAATCTTAAACGTATTTTTTGTGTGATTTTTTCCGACCTCTTGCAAGCAGAGGTTTCTATTTTCTCAATTAATATTTAATATTGCGATATTCTCGTGTCTTCTCTACATGAAACTTCACAATTTTTTCTCTAGCGGATTTTTCTTCTCATCTAACAGATAAAGAGAAAAATCTGTTGCATTTAGTAGCGTATAGTTCAATTTATATTTAGATTATTTCAGATTATTTTTTTTTCTCAATTACTGTTTTATATGTGTAATATTTTATTGTATGTTTTACAGTATATCTATGTCAGTAATTGTCACACTACAGAGTAATTTGCAGAATTTTGAAATACTTTTTTTGGTTAAATTTATATTAAATTGTCGCTCTTTCATATTTCCTCAATTAATATGTTATATCACAATATTCTCTGTGTGATCTCTACATCCTACCTATGCCCAGCAAGTTCATCAAGAAAATATCGAGAAACAGAAAAAAAAATTAATTTACTTTCATATACTCAAGTATACTGTGTTTGCAAGAAAAGTTATAATAAATTGCTATTTTATGATAACAGGTTATATTGGGTTTTCCTTCTTATGCAACAGATATAACGAGAAAATGCTGTTCTTATTTACTGCTTACTGCTTATGTTACAATTGTTGCAGTTTTTTTTATTGCTATTTTAAACTGCAATATTTTCGTGTTTGCTATACAGCATTATCAGTACCTTCATTTCAAATACTTACAACAATAGCAATTTGATCAAAAAAACTTTTACAGCTTTTATGCTTTGTATTTCATTAAGCTTTGATCACGGTCACGGTAAGTTCGGTCCGAAAGATTTTGTTTTAACTTTAAATTAAATATTTTTACTAATAACCTAAATAAATGGTCTGTCGATGTTAAAAAAATTAAGAGAAAAGCTCCTTAATCTGCTCACCTCTGATTGATACCTTATTCAAAAACTGCACCTCGGGTTATAGATTACTCAATGATATCTTCTTGATAAAGCATGAACTAATTTAATTCAATTTCAATAGTGAAAGTGCTTGAAAGTGTCTGTAATAGATCAAATATTTTTTAGACATTATATGCACTTGCATCAAATAAAATATTTTTATATGAAATTTTTTATTTTAGCTATGAAAACATGTTTATTTCTGGATTTATGGAAAAGTTCGAAGTATGTAAAATTTTAAAGCGCTTCGGACACTGTTAGCAATTTCCTTGAAAATGTTAATTTTCTACCATAGAGTAGAAGCTTCTATGAAGCGGTTGATTTCATTGAGTTCGTATAGATTTATGGCCACTATGGTCACTGACCTTGCAGTCTTTAATCAGTTATTATTGGATCACCATGGTCAAGTAGAAGTTGCATATTTAGATTTTGCTAAAGCGTTCCATCGCATAGATTATTCCATACTGTTGCAGAAACTAATTAGTTTTTAGAAATCCTATGCATATAATTCGTTTCTCTACTTAGCACCATCAGCAGCAATACATGATTTCAATCTTGGGCGCCTACTGGTCCTTATGTTCACTAAAGTTATTACTGATATTTTGAGGCTACCGAATTCAGCACAGTTCTTTTTAAAACGGTTATAGCACACAGTTCAGTTATATGGTATATATATTATAATATACATGAGAGTCTTAACCAGGGATTCCATATGAAATTGTGATTATTGGGCTTGACAATCCAAGCTAGGATTCATGCAGTTCATCATTTATAAAGTATTGAATAATTTGTGTATTGTGAGGAGTTGCATAAGCTGTCACGGCCTAATCAATGCGATTTTCCTTGGTGTTAGACCGTGGTCTGTTGCTTTTTAAACCAAAGCTTTATACTTTACCAGACACTGACGATGGCTGTTGTCGGAATTGGCCTGGAAATCGCAGCGACTAGTGTAAGAAGTCTTAAAAGTGTTGAGAATGTTTTTAGTTGGTGTTCTTTAAAGATTTGTCATTATTTTTATCTTGTAACTTTAAACTGATCTGTTTTCTTCAACATAAGGTATGATTTGCACATTTTTTTGATTTCTGAGAAATCCTACAAATTTAATTGAAAGAAGTATAATATGAATTCTGAAAAAGCTTTTAAAATTGCTAGTCGCCGCGAACATATTTCTTATCCGCCAGAGAGATTGTAAGATGAAATCGGGCGGTTACAATAAAATTTTTAATGATTTTCCAAATCATATTGTGGCTCGCCGAATATTTACGATTCCCCGGGCTACTGTGAAACCGTAAAAGTGGAAAATTGCAAATGGAAATATTAATGGTACATCTGGTTTCCAGCTTCTTGTATTCACGTTTAAGCTATTTAAATATACATTACTCTCCACTAACTTACATTCTTTTTTGCCGCTCCTCGGTTTTGTAAACAACATAAGGTTTTTAAAAGTATTTTAGGTTTTTTTTTTATTTGTTCTGAAAACCGGGTTTGTTAATGGGCTTCTATATTTTACTTATAAACATGCATTGTGAAATTGTTGTCCACTGTGTTCCCAGTATCTTACAAAATGATTTTGATAAAAATTAGCTACAATTGCTACAAATTTACAGAAAAACATCCCTTAATCTTAATAACCCTGTAAAATTTCAAATTTTTTACCCTTGTAAATTGCTATGAGGAAAAGATCTAAAAATAGGCATCATTAATTATCTCATTTTGAAATTACAATTGTATATTATGGAACAAGTTTTGTAAATGAGACTATAGTCCGAGTTTTATTTAGGCACCAGCAGAGTGAGTATTTAGTAAACCTGTGCCTGAAAACATACAGGAATTCGATAGTATCATTGTCAGTTGTTTTTCCAGTAACTGTATGGAGTTTAATTTATTTCGATATTTTTGAAAAGTCACCATCTAAGTTCTTCAAAGGTTTTCTAATGTTTTCGAAATCTATTTCTGCTCTCTTGCAATTTGAGTATCCGATGGACTCCCAAGGAGGTATTTCGATCGACAATTACAATTTCATTTACAATTACGCGCACTCTAAAATGCATTTTGCCTAACATCCGTATTAAATACAAAGAAATTTGCTTTCAGGATGACTTCGACTGCTTGAAATTCCCGTCACGCGATGTTCTAGAACAGTTTAAGTGACTTAAATGCATTCCAAAATACTTCAGCTCTAATTGGCCTCTCCACGCAACTAGGATTATAGTTTTAACGAGGTACTATTTTACAAAACCTAACTTTTTTTAAAGGAAACTATTCCACGTACTCCTTACATGTACTTCTTATAACGAGGCTAGAAGTAACCTGTTTAAAGATGTGAAACAACTGGAATTATTTTTTAGTCTTCTCATTGGTTTTAATTATGAATTGAAACAATAAATAATAAAATACTGAGTGTCTGAAGACGTCCTTATTATATTGAATGCTTTTTTTCCGACGACAAGTATTTTTTTTTGTAAATTTATTTAATACAGAATCACTGAGTGTGCTGATGACCGTCAGAAATGACAGACAAAATGTATATCTGTTTGCTTGAAAATACATATTTAATTAATGCAGGGACATTGGCCGATAGACAGACTGACTGATATTTTTGAAAGTGCTTTTTTTTGGGTTTAGTATTGACTTCTAGCTTTTTCAAATTTTTAATTTCGGATAAGCCATTTTATTTGCTTTGTCATACTTTAGTTTTAATTGCAAAAGGGCCGATAGTCCTACTATAATTTGTTCAAGAAAATCAAAATCCGTGCTTTAAAATGGTGTCAGATATATGAGGTGCTATTCTTATGAATTCAGTGCAGAAATTTACCCAAATTATATTTTCCCAGTACTAAGTTGATTATTTTACTTATTGGTTCAGTCCACAAAAGCGATCATTTACGAAAGTTTATCCCATAACAGTGCCAACGTTATATGTGCGTGTTTTCTTCTATTCGATGAGTACCACCCATATCTTCTTCTTCATGTACCGCCTCCATTTCGGACGTTTGCTATCATCATTGCTATCGCTATCACGTC